ACTGCGCAACACCCTCAATAGACCGATCCCTACCAGTGTCCTTGTGCTTAGTGATGTGTCGGTCGCGAACGATCCGGCTCTTTTAAGTGAATGACGGGAGCCGGCTTTGTTTTTTTGGCAGAATGATATGATGATCTCCGCGCTACGGGTGCTCAGTGCGTGCATGCAGTGACATGTAATATCCAAGAATTAGAGACTGTTGGATGCTGCTGTTTTGAGCATTGCAATATATTTATTTTCACTGTTATTTATTTATGATTATCCTGAGGCTCAGCAAAGATTTGATGTAAGCTGTTGCTGTCTTTTTTTCTATAGTTAATAGTTACTGAAATAGAGCCCTGCTGTTTTTGTCAGGGCCTTTTCTTTATATATAATTTTAAAATGTCGATACAGTAGCCCCTTTTTTTAAATAGTTTTTATAGGTGTTCCTATCTGTTTTGTGTAGCGTGGTTCTACAAGCAAGTCAGTGCATTCATTGGGTGGTATCAGAGAGTTACAAGGGTCTTTAAATGCAATGAAAACATTTGGCCACAGCAAATTATTTATATTAAACATGTAATTTTTACTTTTGAATACTTCAGTACAAAGGATGTATTGAATAATTTAAGTGATACACATAGGCCTATACACATCAAAACAGGGCTACATTTGATTTAATTAAAAGGTATAATATGTGGTAAACTGAAGAGCCGTTTGGGAGCCGAAAGAGCTGGCTCTTCTTGGTGAGCCGAGCCAAATGATCCGGCTCACCAAGAAGAGCCGAAATTCCCATCACTAGAATTAAGCAGCCACTTTGCTTTGGTGAGAGTTACATCTTCTCAACTCGAGCTATACATCTGTGTGACGCTGTCTCTGAAAGCCAATCAGCGGTGAGAACAAGTCAAATTTAGAAGTTAAAGATGGGGTAGGTACGTTTGAGAAACCGGCTCGAGATACACTTGTTGTTATATTCCATGGAATGCTCTTAACATCCAGATAGCAATGAATATCTGAAGTGCTTTGACAACAAATCCATAAAAATAATGTCATCTGTGGAAGCCGTGGCGCTGTAAAAAGCACGACCAATCACCTGAGCCGGCTAAAGTAACTGGATGGCCTACCTGCCTGTCAGCCTTCCATCTGTGCACAAACTTATCTCGTGCCCTCATTGGTCATGTGCGCGTTCGTGTGTGTTGGAGGAGGGGCTCTGTGAGGAAGTNTTATAATAAAGAACACAAAATTAATAAAGGTAAAAATAAAACATTAGCAGAAGCACTGGGGGTGAGCCCCAGAGTGCCTGTGGTGAAACCCTATGGGGACCAAATTTCTTGTCAATAAAATGTCCCTCCCGTATGGGGGGGCCCGAACTGGCTGAACTCTTCGATGTGTGTTTGAGATTATTTACTAAAAAGCAGTTCATTTGGGTGTGTAAAGTCGCTGTACCAAAAGTTCCTCTTTCGCGACATCTTCTCATCACCGCCCTCAACACCCAAACCGCCATTCGTCCTCTCTCTTCCCTCGCTGTAAGTCGCGCGGCGTCTGCCGCTAGAATCGTCGCGCCCCGAGCTCATCGGTCGCAGCTCACGGGTGTAGCGGCGCGTGCCCACCACTTGCGCAGCAGCCGCTCTCTCAAGCTCCCTTCGCGGCTGTCCGGGCGCTTAAGTCTCGCCCTCCAGACCTCAACCGCCCCCATACCAGCACGCCCCGTGCGTGGACGGTTCTCGTTCCACCAAAATTCACACGCACAATTTCCTTCTCGCTCCTCCTTGTATTGTTCTCCCTTCACTCTCTCGCTCGTCTCGATCATGCTTTATCATCTTCACCCAGCCCATCCAAACCTCTTCCTGGGGTCGAGCTCCACGCCGACTTGTTCTAGACCGGTGCCAGGAGCTCGGCTCCTCCGCGGGAGGTTTCGCGTGCTTGCGCGCTGCCTCCTCCGGTTACTTGTGCTTGTCAAACACGTGCCTCTCACTTCCGCTGTTCGTCCTCCGCGTCAGGTCCATGCCCTCGCGCGAGTCCTCACACCGACCGAACCATGTCGCGCTGCCGACAGGCTGCTCGCTCTCGTCTCCAATACTAAACAACACGTCTTCGTCGCAGTCTCTCCGCTCCACCGCTCAGCCTCAATTCGCTCAGCGCTACCCTTCACTAATCCCTGCTTCGTCTCCCATAGAACGCTCGGCCAAAGAGCTTTGATGGCATGGGGTGGCAATCTGACTGTATTCTCCCTGTTTAGACTTTTCTTTATCATTATTCGGTCTATCCTTCTCTAATAATCCTATGCACGTCCTATGTAAGTAACTGGAAGCCTGCATCCCACACCATCTGCCTCGCGAAAAAGGCTGTGGTTTCCTCTTTAATTCGTTCCGTTTAACTAAGACTTCTATCGTCCACAAGCTTGTCGTTCGTTAAGTTTCGAAACTCGATTAATTTTTTTAATATATATTTTTTTAATTATTATTAATAATAACGTCTGCATAGAATTTTTTTTCTTTGACAATCCACTAGCGCAGTGTTTCTGCAACTTTTTTTTTTCCTTCTGAAATTAATTCACTAGCACCCCCGTCGACAGGGGGGCTCTGGCACTGTTATTTTGGGGGTCGCGGGCTGAAAAGTTTGGGAACCCCTGCTTTAAACAAATGAAAGAGGCAGAAATTGTCAGATTTATCCCAAAAATATGATGGTCCCACGGAACAAAATTGCTTTCTCAATTACATATTTGAAACCGTCAAACACGAAGCTCGCGTTAATTAAACTAGCTACTTATTTAAGTTTAGTCAAAGATAATATTATAATAGTTATGTTTGTTACATACAATAGTTCAGTAAGTATGTGCCTCGCCCGATGCAGATTTACACTTTTATGAAAGACTCGGTTTGCAGTCTTAAGCTAGGCTGGGTTAGCGTATTAGCAAATTATTTATTCCCCGAATAAAGAGCCTTTCCAGAACCAATAGCAAGAGAAAGGCTTATTAAAACCTGAATTATTTCACATTAAGGCTTAAAGCAGTGTTTGATTATTCGTCCTGTCCTTTTTCTTTTGTGGATTGTTGTATTTTTAATGTATAGACAAAAAAATGTTGGAAAATAGTGTCATTGTGTTTCAGCCAAAGTAATTTATCTTTATTGGGGAAGTGTCCATTTTTATAGAGTCTTTCCCTGGCAATGATTGAAGGATACACATCAGATGTTATTGTATTACTGATCCCTATCTGAACCGGTGGAAGTCCCAGTGTACGGTAATTCAGATCAAAACGTTACTTTTAATTGGATAAATCCGCCTGTAGTGAGAAGAAAAAGCACCAAACCACATCAACCCCATTTTAATCACGAGTGCCTTAGTGGGAATCAAGCTCTCTCCTGCCTTCAGATCTTTGTCTGTACAGTACATTATATATATATATCTGAATAGCTGTGTGATAATAACATTTAAACTTCTGTAAATGATTGTTGCTCTATATTCCTCTTCTTTCCGATGATTAGAACCACGAACCCACTGTGTATATGTTGCTTATTTGAATAATAAATCTATTTTCTCAGAGACTGAGCTTGAGAGTTGTGTGTTTCTTTCACCGGAAGCTTTCTTATTGTATTGATGAATGACACTGACAAGGAAATGGATATTGAATGTGTCTCTCACTGCAAACCTTGTTATTGAGTTACACGGTGCAAATGTGTTCTAGAAATACAAGAGCTGCTGATTTGTTAATGGAAATACATGCAAAGTCATCTAAGGTGTGTAATGCTTTTCACCTATCTTACTAACTATTGGAAACGTGTGCTGCTGAGTCATATCCTGTATGTTCTTAATAATGCTAAATATCTCATTTCCAGAATAACAACCAGCTTGTTCATAAACACACAGCATGTCATGTTATGCACGATGAAAAAGTACTTCTAAAAGTCACAGATTTAGCTAGATTTCAGTATCTCTACATAAAAATACATGTGCAATAGTGATGTCGGTCGCAAATTATTAATTTTTTAAGTAATACAAGACAGAATGATGATCTCCGCACTACAGCTGCTCCGTGCATGCATGCAGTGACATGTAATATCCAAGGATTAGAGACTGTTGGATGCTGCTGTTTTGAGCATTGCAATATATTTATTTTCACTATGTTATTTATTTGTGATTATCCTTAGGCTTAGCAAATATCTTTTTTTCTATAGTTAATAGTTACTGAAATAGAGCCCTTTTCTTTAAATATAATTTTAAAATGTCCATACAGTAGCCCCTTTTTTTTAAATGTCTATGCTTACGTTTTTATAGGTGTTGCTATCTGCTTTGTGTAGCGTGGGTGGTTCTACAAGCAAGTCAGTGCGTTCATTGGGTGGTATCAGAGAGTTACAAGGGTCTTTAAACGCAATGAAAACATTTGGCCACAGCTAATCATTTATATTAAACATCTAATTTTTACTTTTGAATTCTTCAGTACAAAGGATGTATTGAATAATTTAAGTGATATATGTGTACACATATAAATCATTCATTAGTCAAAACAGGGCTACATTTAATTTAATTATAAAAGGTATAATATGTGTTAAACTCAGGGCCGGCCCTAGACTTTTGGGGGCCCTAAGCGAGCTTTGGCTTGGGGGCCCCCCTCACTCTGGCGTGTTCTCACTTCAAACAACATGGAAGCAACTTTTGTCTTATGATGTTAGCATGAGCACACATATTGTATAAATAAGCATGTAAACACTG